CAGCAAATCCTTTTTGGCGGAGGGCTGCACACTAATTTGCTTTTCTAATAGCATTTACTTTTGTTGATGCAGTTTTTAATTCATAAAACATTAAGGGCCTCTTCCCTTCTTGGACTAAAACAAGCCAGCCACTCTACGGCCTCACCAAACCATTACCGTGTCCTGAGTTTAATACCCACCCATATGTCAGATTATTCTCTTCCTTGAGCTGCCCACTTCACTCAAATTGAAACCAGTTTATGTCAAAGCTCTGGGTCCTTTCACCAACACCTCCATGATTACACAGTAGCACGGACGGACTGGACTGGAGCTGCAGAGAGCAGGCCCGACCGCACACCCTGTCCCGCATGCATTGTAATCATAGAGAGTGTGCCGCCATTGTGTGTGGCTGGTGTCCGTGAGAGTGGAGGAACATTAACTCTGACCAGAATTATAGCGCATAACTGAAGTGCCCATAACACAAACCTTTAATTACAGCAACTATAAGAGGCTCTCAGGGGATGACCGTCACGCACTGCTATGTAAAACTATCGAAGCCCTGGTACAGTCTCTGAGCCACTGCCACCGTCGGAAAAGGTTTGGTTGGATTGTGGAGCAGAGAAGTGGAAGATACAGAAGCCAGACATGAACTCAGACCACACAAACTTAATAACATAATATTTCTGTACACACTGGGAGGCTGTTTCCTGGATATAGTAGCAGATATTTCCACCACTCAAAAAATATTAGGCTTATAACAAAATCATTTTACCTCAACCAGTCTGCACATGCCAACGATCTGTGTTGTCATTTCGCAAAGACCTGAAAGTTTGGTTTGACAGAGATGACTATTGTTTATTGTCTGGACCCACTCACGCATTTTCTACTTTTGACTAAGTTTCCAGTTTCTGTCTAAAAGTGCATATAAGAGTTTAGAGTAGACTTTTCACAAGATTTGGCAAAATATTTAGACAAATGCTACATTACCCGAGCAATATCCGACCACTACACAAGATAGAATCATATAAAGGGTAGGAATGGAAGAACACAAATACTGTACAAAAGACAGCTAGGAGAGGTGATTGAAATCAGGAAGTGGGGTGAACGGACCATCACCGGAGACAAGGGGGACTTCACCTTGGCTCACACTTCTTCTAACCAAAGTCTTCATGTCTTCATATTAACAACCTGTGCATTCAGTGGAGTATTCAAACTTTATATGTGTGTCTTTAAACCCCTTGCCTCATCACGGTCACACAAATTGCACTAAGAATTAAACTAGTATGTTTATTTAGCTATGTTAGACTGAATTGATAAAATGCACACCACAAATGTATGTGTTGTAAATTGAGCTATATTTTAGGATAAATCTAAACACATAAAGAGACGGTCTGGTGTTCAGTCATGCTCTAACCATTGTAGGACTAACAGAAAATGTGGTGAGAGGAGAATGCACAGGGACGACAGAGTATAACCCTTACTACACACTTCATGAAGTATTGTCCAGGGGAACTAAAAATAGTATATGCTGTTATAGTAGTGGTGCTAATATCTATTTGAGAACAATTTACGTGTAGATAAGACTTTTTTTTTTACATAGTTCACATAAATCAAATCCTTGGCCTTTACCTCAAATCACATAAAGTTAAGTTTTTGATAGGTTTCAGAGAGTATTAGACCTAAAGTACATTGTGAGGCCTTTTACTCATTTAAAAAAGAATAAAAGTCCAATTTGAAGTTCATAAATGTGTGTTTCCACAGTTTGAATCCCATGAATTGTGTAAGTATAATCCACACCTCATCTTTCTTCTAATGCCTGTGTTGTGTGCGTCCGTCTCCTCAGCTCTCACTCTTATGAAGGCAGATAGTGAGATGACAGGGTGCATTCCTCTTGCTCTGCTCCGGAGAAATGTCTCAGATCTATGCACTCGACATGTTTGGCCGACGCGATAGGAATCCATAGATAAGGAGTGATGCAGCGCAGCGAGAGGACACTGCCAAGGGTGTGGGAAAAAACATATTTCGGTGTCAGATTACCCGTAGGAACAACACAAACAGGAGGCTCATGTTGCCGTTTCACCCAGAGTTGGAGGTTAAATCTGTCGTCCGATGCCAAAAGCAATCTCGATCTGTGCTGTTGTGATTGTATTATGTTTCTGGTTGTCCCCAAGATGCAGGATGACTCATGTAAAGTATGTAGAACAAAAGATGATTGTTACAAAAAGTTTAAAAATATCAGAATTGTGAAATATTTCCTTTAAAGTAAATCTCAGTTACTTTTCAAATTGTGAAGAGAGTGAAACCTTTTGAAAGACAGGCATTGGTTAGACCCGCCCATGCTCACCCCTGCAGCTTCCTGATTGGACAAGAGGAATTGCCCATGAAATGTATTATTGTTGAAAGTACAGTGTGCCATGGCTTGAAATATAGATTCTATTGAAAAATAAAATAAAATTTAAGTTGCTGATATCACCTTTAATAAGCTATACATAGTTGATTATGAACTGCTTTTATTTACCATTCAAATAAATAGTATTAGTCCTAAATAAATCATTGAGGATACTGTCAGCAATGTTCCAAGTTATTATAATCCTAATATCTATATATTTTTTTGAATGAATGTGTACAGTATGTTCTACATCCAGAATGACTTTATATTGAATGTGAAATGAATGTAAATAATCTCAAGATTTATAGACTAAAATAAATACATATACTGGATGATACTGTAATTGTTCTTTAAAGCTCGAGTACCTAACTTTCAAACCTCAAGACCATGTAAAAAATAATCCATCAAACTTCTTCCACGCTCTCAAAACCGTTTGGTTCAATCACTAGTTTCCACATGTATATGTTTTTGGACTCGGTCACATCTTTAGATCAGCTTTTTTCCAGACAGACAAGTGAAAAGGAGAGAACCACCCTCACTCAGCCCCAGGGATCAAATAGTGACTCACAGGGCACTTTCACACAAGTATGCAAAACGTATATATTTTTGTGTCTAATAAGATAATAAGAAGTGTACACTAAAGCTAGACATTAGAGACTTGTTTCTGTCTTTTGCTAAAGTTGTGATTTTCTTGTGTTGTGTGCTCCTCTTCCTACTGTTCTGTAACTGGTGATGCAACACTGAAATTTCTCCACTGTGGGACAAATAAAGGATTTCTTAATCTTATGTTATGCTTTTTCACAACATATTACTTTTTACAAGACTATTTCTGTTGGTACAAAAAAACATGTATTATATATGAATCAAAAAAGTTAGTTACCCCGGCTTTTACAGACAGTTTACTAAGCTTTCTATAATCTTTCTTGATATTCTCTGGTGATTGTATTCATCTGTAAACTCAAAATCCAGCCACCACATCCCCAAACCACGCTGCAGGACCACCTACTCTTAGGGTACATAATGTCTTGGATTCTCGACAGGCCGGTTCATGCTGTGGATTGTACATATTTTATCCCCATTATTCCTAATAGCCGCTGCCGAGAGATCAGTCCAAGCCTTCTGAGCGTGTTGAGAGACAGAATGAAGTGTACAGTGTTTGTGCAAAGGTTGTGGATGTGAAAAGCACAGGCTGCACTGATAGGATCTGTCAGAGAGAGGGAACCCTGGACCACTGAGACCAGGCTCCTCTCTGTCTCTGCACTGAAATGCCTGAGAAATTACAAGAGCTGATCTGGGATACTTCTATCAAACAAGACTAAATTAGGCTTAATCCCACCATTTATATTTCTGGTAAGGGTGATGATCTGAATCTGAATCTGAATCTCTGCTTTAGCCCTCAACTTATTTGTAGAGTTCAGGCGTTTTTCAGACTTTTTTTTAAATACATGCACAATGTAAGGATCAGGACATACATGATAACATTGTTGTGCCTTACCTACGGCAGCACTATTTTCAGTTTTTCCTATTTGCTATCTATTAAAAATGTACATTAAATTAATATATTGTGAGTATTTGAATCCACAGAGCTAAAGTCTCAATACCATAACCCTTTACTATTCACCCCTTAATTTAAATAAAGCAACGTAATAATTGTTTTTTTGGTTTTCTAAGTTGTATAGGAGCACTAAAAACAGATATTTTTTTTGTTTTAGTTTTTTTTTGTATTTTCATCCCTGATTTTTTATTATTCTATTATTGTAGGCCTTTACCAAATGGTTGAGATCCAGTTTGATTGTAAAAGTGCCTAAACCAAGTGAGATGCTAGTGAATCAAAAAGTGATCTACCTAATGGTTGAAGAACTATTAAAGGGTTCATATTCTTGCACTAGTGTGTTACAGATGTGTCTACAGATGTATGCATAAGTATACATTTCTTGCACTACTTTGTTTCTTAATGCATGGATGAATAAATGTCTTTATGAGTCCCACAGGGGGATAATAAAAAGCATATGTTCAATACTTAATATTCACTTATCTCGTGTTCTGCTCCTCATTCCAACTGTTCTCTAACTTGTGATTCAACACTGAAGTTTCCCCACAGTGAGACAAATAAACGATCTCTTAATATAGCACAAATGGGACATATCATTCCTTGTTAAATTCAACAAAGTGTCATTTTCTAATTGTTCTTTAAATTAACAAAAAAGTCCTGTCCTTTGAATATTGCCAAATACTGTATATAGAGATTGGGGTGTGTTAAAGTGATCTCGGGTTAAGTCATTTCTGAATCTGAATATATATTGCCATTTTAAGTGACAATCGTCTTGACAGCGTCTTCCTGAGGATCCACCACCTGCAGAGGATCAGCGAGGGATTGGTGCTATGAACATTGGGTGGCAGCTCTCATTGCCACCCTCCTGACCCAGAAATTGACTCATAAAGGGATAGAAAATGAATGAATTAATGAAATGAATAAATGTAAGTAACAGGAAGTGAAAAACTATGAATTTTCTTGGGTAATACGGTGCAAGCAAGTAAAGAATAGGTCTCTATATGAAAAAGGTTACATTTTTGGTACCTTAGAAGTGAACCAAAGACTACAATACATACGAGAGACTCTTCTATTTGACAGCTACTGAGGCTGGGGGCAGAGGCCGGACTGAGGCTGGGGGTAGGCGGAGGCCGGACTGAGGCTGGGGGTAGAGGCCGGAGTGAGGCTGGGGGCAGAGGCCGGACTGAGGCTGGGGGCAGAGGCCGGAGTGAGGCTGGGGGCAGAGGCCGTAGTGAGGCTGGGGGCAGAGGCCGTAGTGAGGCTGGGGGTAGAGGCCGTAGTGAGGCTGGGGGCAGAGGCCGGAGTGAGGCTGGGGGCAGAGGCCGGAGTGAGGCTGGGTGCAGAGGCCGTAGTGAGGCTGGGGGTAGAGGCCAGAGTGAGGCTGGGGGCAGAGGCCGTAGTGAGGCTGGGGGCAGAGGCCGGACTGAGGCTGGGGGCAGAGGCCAGAGTAAGGGCCTGTAGACCAGCGCTCCCGTGTATAGTGTGGTGTGTGCTGTGAGTCTCGTGCTGCGTTCAGGCTCAGCTCTCACTAATGATGGCAAAACAATCAATCACTGCAGGAGCTCGGTCTGTATGAGGCCTATAATGTATAATTCATGTGTCTCCTCACTGTTTTGACATGCTGCATTTTATAGACAGGGATTTTTTTTGATTTCCCTCACAATCCTCCAGCAGTCCTATGGCTCTGGTTTGAACACAGGTTTATCCAGACGGGTCTAGTCCATTTAAAGTCTTGGTTTAGTTAAGAAAAATAATAATGAATGCTGTAATCCAATGAATAATAAAACTAATGTGTACTAATCAATGTGTTGCTATGGTAACTATTGGCAGGGTTTATCACTGTTTTATGAATATTATTCAGACAACAGAGTTTTTCAAATACAAATATTGTATTTCTTTAATATTTTCTTTGCTCATTTTCCATTTTGTTTGAGGGAAGAGTGTTTGCTCTTCTCGGCACGTGCTCACCTGCGTTGGGTTTCATTTGCAAACATGAGTCAACAGCAGATCAAATGTTTGGCATATTAACCAGTGGGATTTTTATTACAATTTCAAAAGCCAACATTTATCTGTCAGAGTAGGGTGCTGTTGCTTCATCCTGGACAAAAAAGTTGTCATTTTGGTCTTACTGTTAGTTCAGCTGTTGTGGCAGACCTGTGGGATCTGGACAGACGGGAATAATCTCATCCTTTGACGTAACCAAATGAAAGTGATGGGTGAAGTATATTAAGGATTCAATATGAAAACGGTTGAGGCAATATTAGGACTGATTAGGAATGACATGAATACCAGTATGCAGCTGAAAGTCTGACTTTGACCACTTTGATCGTTGCTGAAGTTTATTTACTCCTGTCCTGTGTGTGCGCTGCAACACTGAAAAGTCCTCACTGTGGGACAAATAAAAGTTATACTTTTCCATTACATAACAATACTGAAAATAGTGAAGTAATAGAAATTATATATGGTTTGCTTTTGTTTATTGGGTATAAAGTCGACTCTTGTTAAATCATTTCTTTTTGCCTCCAGCTGTATTTTGCTTGTTTGTTTGTACAAACAGAGTTGCTGGCATCGTCTTACTCATGGTTCCGTCACACACCAGCTGCATGCTCCAGGTTCAGTTGTAGGTCATTCTATTTTACACAATGAGTCCTCAGTCAATAAAATCTGATCCATGTTCACAAGTGTGTCAGGACCTGTCCATAGATCTATAAATGTGTCAATTCAATAAAGCATCATGGATTGATGATTGTGGTATGAATGCAAGGGGGAGTGGCTGGGTTTGGGTGGGGGGTTTTGAAGTTTGTCTCGTTATTTTATCTTGTAAATAAAAAGAAGTTAAAAAAATAAAAATAAAAAAATAAATAAAGCATCATGGAATATTTATCTTTATAGCATTTTAAGACAAAAGGCATTTATTGCATCTCAAAATGTTATGTCATTTTGATAAATAGTTGAATGATGTTAAAACAGAATTCTGAAAATAAAAGTACTCCCAGAGCAGTCATTTTGACAGCTTCCTTTCAAAATCCATTCTGAAAAAATCCCCAAAAAATGTTTTAGTTTTCAACAACTTTTTATTACAGTTATGTAATTCATAAATTTTAGTACATGGTAAAACTGGCCAACTGCAACATGTAAAAAGTGTGTTGCTATGGTAACTAGCACTTGCTCCAAGATGAGATTTCTCTGAACAAGTCTAGGACCAGTCGAGGATTCAGATAATTTCCTACATAATGACGTAGAAATAAACCACTTACAGAAACAGAAAAGTCATAAAGTTATGAAAACCAAAAGCATACAGAAGCAGAGTAATTACACTTCCAAAACTGAACAGCCGTCAAATAGACTGCTCTGGGTTAAATATGACAGCACATGATGTCGGCGTCTATCTATTTCCTCCAGTGCCTCGGTGAAGCTCTTTCATAGTATTCTTGTGACTTAAGTACACGGCTGTGAATAGCACAGAGGCCACAGCGTGTTCCCTGCTGGAGTTGAAAGGTATGTGCTAATCCTCCTGACCTCAGGGGGCAGCACAGGGACAAAAACAGCAGCGGTGTGGTGTGGGTGAATGAGGGAGAGGGTGCCAACAACTGATCTGGCACCGCTTCACAGACTCCACTCTCGGCAACAACGGAAAACCAACTTAGCCCACCCAAGGTCATGGCCGCGGGCTGCTGGGAGGAGACAGCCTGAAAAATCTCAAGCAATGCGACGGGGAAATTATAATGTGTATTTTTTACCCCCCTAATAATTCATGTTTGTGTTGCTTGGACCGTGGCTTGCGTGATGTACTGGGGCAGCGCAGGTCTCGGTCCAGTGAGAGCTTTGAAGTGCGTTGGTTCCATGTCTGGTTTTCCACATACGTACACACACGTTTGGTTTATGTGTCTTGTGGGAACGTTATATAAATATAGATTTTTTTTCAGGAGCCTCATAATCTGATTAACAAGATCAATCGAAACAGCGTAATAATTGTACTAGAGATTTGAAACAACCCCATTTAGCTAAATTGTTATCCCACTGTCCCATTTTCAAAAAGAATTTTCCAATTTATATATTCTTGTGAGGTGGTTGTTTTTGCAATTGTTGGAGTCATCAACATAAACTTGTTTTGTTAATAACGTTTTGAGAATCATAACGAGACCTTTTTAAGTTCTGCGGCCATATGTTACTTTACAAGTGATATTAGCTCGACGCGGTGAGTTCTGGGAAACCGGATCACGGACTTTATCATTGATGGAACGGTGGAAGGCGGGACAGATAGACTTATAAAAAAGAGTACAATCACGACATTCCATTTTCAAAATACTCACATTTTCTGAGATATTTTATTTTGGGATTTTACAAGCTGTGAGCCAATTATAAACATTATAAAAAAATAAAAGATTGATAGATTTCACTTTACGTTTGATCAGTCTGTCACACACTTTCACATGGTAATTTTACTGATTACTGATACTTTAATTTTCGTAGTTTCAACATCTGTTTACACACTGTGGACCCAACAGATGGAAAGTAGCAGTAACTAAGTTTAGTGCAAATCATTTCTTCCTTTGTCATTTTCAAAAACAGCCCTTAGAATATATTTGAAAGGCATACAATTTTCCCTATAGCAAGTACTTTTTTTTTTCTAGTGATCTATTTTAGTGCCATTCAGATAAGGTTTCACCCTTCTTGAGAAAATAGGAGATGAAAATGCTCAGAACAGAGTCCCCACATGACGGGGTAAACCGGCACACACTCTCTGACCACAGCAGACCCTGTAGTGGCCGAGCAGACAGCAGGGAGGCACCGGGAGCTTAATGTGGCGCTTCCTTCTCAGAGCAGTTGAGCGAAATGTTTATTACAACACACCAACCACAGAATACACTTCACTGTTTTGGATGATACAGAAAGAGGCCAAAAGGAGACGAATGATGTCAAATATTAACATAAACTATAAATAAAGCCTTATTAGAGCCTACCGTATGTCTATAAAGTGAGTTCATAACAAATGGAAGTTTACACACACAGGGTAAAAAGAGGGATTACTACTGAAAGTAAATATCAGTAAATGTTCATAAATGTATGTATGTATATATTCTTTGTATGTGTAAGTATCTACCACTGTTTTGTCACGCTTCTACAAATCATTCTCAAATACGATCCTTGATGATGGAAAAATCAGAAGTTATGATTTGGGGAAATCAGTTTTTTAATTACTGTCACATTATAAAGACAATTATCTTAAATATTTGCATGTTCTCCCTGTGTCTGCGTAGGTTTCCTTTGGGTGCTTCGGTTTGTGGCATGCTCCTCCGCTGTGAGGAGTGAGAGACAAATGCACACAACAATAAACAGTAAAAGACATTGTGACTCTGGTCTGTGAAAGGCGCTATAATAAAAAAATTACTTATTTTTCCACAGGGAAAGTACTGGGTCATATATTAACTTCCAGAGTATTATTTTTTCTCCAGTGTAATTTTAATATGTTGTGAATAAAATGTGAACCCCCAAAAACCCGAGTTTGAACAGCACACCTGATCTTATCCCCTGTCATCTAATGTTATTGTTTTAAAAGTTCAGACTTGCGACACATGGATCCTGAGAACATAGAAATGTTTCATAACGCTGCTCCTCTGCACGTACCTCTGGAAAAATCCATAAAGTGGAGCTCTTGGGGAGGTCAGGCTTCGTCTTGTTCCAACACTAACTTCCACGCACAAACACACACATTTTCACAGTGCGAATTTTAACAACATTTTTCCTTTGATTTGATTCAGGGTCAGGTCCCCTGTTGCTATTAAGACCCTATAAAGCAGTGAGCCATTGCCAGATTGGCACGCGATATACCCCTGAAACCTCAGCCGCTATGATGCTTACTTGTGAAATGCCTGATTATGCAAACCAGGCTGTTTACCTTGGATTACAATCAATATGTAGGTGCCCTGGGAGGTTTGTATTAAAGCGGTAGGCAGCAGGCGGCTCGCCCTGTGAAGTGGGCAACGGCAGAGGAGCAGAGAGCGGACTGCGAGTGCCAGATAACAGATGAATTATAGATATGAAGCCCAGGGGCTAAACACACAGGTGGGTGAGGTGGAGCGGAGCAGGGCTGGTGCAGTGCTGGATGTCGAGGGCAATGATTCTCAGCTGGAAAGGGTGAAAAGGCACAGACATGCAGAGAGGGTATATGGGTTATATAGTCTGAGTTCCAAATATATACTGCTAAGCTTGAACAAAAACTTTAGAAAGTAACAAGTGTGTTTTTCCATTTATTCCAACTCACGTAGTGCAGAGTCAGTACTTTTTTCAAACTTTATAGAGAGCATTTATTTGCCCCAGCTATCGGAAGACGATCTGATAAAAGAAATTAAACTGACTGAACTTAAACAAGCAGTTCAGGACATACACAGGGAAGTTGTACATTTATTGTACAACAAACATACAACTTGCCTCTCTTATGGATACTATCTCCACACAATTCTCTTCATTCTTAGATACAAGTAAGTATTTTAAAATGTAACATCTAGCTGTACATAGCTGAATGCTGTAATCCTGTACTGTCTTTTTAGCCTTAACTTACATTCTAAGACATTTAAGTGTGTGCCTGTATAATGTACAGTATTACATTTAGATTCAATATTAGAATAATCATTTGAGTAAAACAAAATTGCATACTGATTTTTGCGAGATTTGCGTTGCATGATCCTGTACATCTAATATAAAGCAAAAAAAATGATGTTACACAATCAATTTGTATTCAATATGGGATGGCAACAAAAAAGGCGCATGCATTGATTATTTCACAGCAATGGTCATTCCTTTGAAAGTGCTTTTAAATAGTAGTGCAGCCTCCAGCAGCTCATATGTGACAGATGAAACCAAAACGCCTGAAGCCAAGAGAAGAGAAACAGAGAACAGAGAATTATCAGAATTTCAAATTTGATATCATTATTGTTATTAGCCATTGTGTGTGCACGTCATGGATTTTCTGTCTGAAATGTGAACCTGCTCCTGGGTGAACTATTGAACAATGACAATCAATACCACTTTGGCAGATGAGAGGCATGTATGAAAACATGTACAAAATATTTTATTTCTTCAAACCCTCAAATTTGTATTTCACAAATGCATTGTTTTTTTGCAGTAAGTTTTCTCAAGAGTAAATAATGAATCATAAAATCATGATTCATAATAATAATAATTGCCTGAAATGGTGATGTTGACAGTAACTTCCGCCTTTTGTCCGTGTCCGATTCCATTGTGTGTTTTTATCTCAGTCGAATATGTCAAGAATAATCATGAAATTAAGTAAGAATGTTTAATTATTCAGCGCATTTCACAGAACAAGGTCACACAGAGCGCTTTAGTCTAATATTTACAATTTCTGGCTTTAAACCCGGTTTTTGTTTTTTAACTGGTCGTTTCCATTCCCTCCACACACGGTGATGACAGAAGCGAGACGCCCCGGCCACCCCTCACTCGCTTTTACATTAATTCCTTTATTACCTGGTAGAGGAAACCTACACAGACACGGGGAGAACATGCAAACTGCACACAGAAAAGCCCAGGACACAAGAAAACAAAGGGAGGATGGATGAACAAGACCTTTATGTCCATTTCGATGCTTTACATGAGTTAATACTGCTTCGTTTCTGTATTGAAAGTAGAAAAAAACACCAGTACCTAAAATATGAATATCTATAAAATACCTAAAAAACAAAATCGTGATTGTGCAGGTTTTAAAAAAAAGAATCTGAATAAACGGACACATAAAAAAAAAAGTGTTCAAAGGCTAATGTGTGGAATGGTCTACCAAAATAATTTATGCAAAAAATAGTTAAAATAATACAATCAAAATAAAACAGCTTGAAAAATATTCTGTAAAAAATATTCTGAGGATCCTGGAGTTTTATACTGCAATAAAATGGCTTGTTTCATTATTTGAAATGTTGAAATTATAATAATAAAATTGAGGGCTGAGGAGCTGAATACACATCTATATATTCATGCAATCATCCAAACCATAAACATATATATATATTGTTTTTCATCATCAACATGTTCATAGCAACATTCAGTCAGTCAGTTCTGCTAGGCTAGTTTTTTTAATATCCATATCTCCACATACCACCAATCTGTTCACACTGGCATTTGTACTTTACTATTTTACCAAAAAATGAAAAGGATGGAAGCGAATGTGGAGTCACCCCTTTGGCTGCACAATCATATTCTGAAATGAACGAAAAATGATCCAGAATTGGTGATCTTGACTTGGTTGCTCTCTACGTGTCTCCGCCTGTTTGGGGGAGATCTGATCCCATTTGCTGATGAATTTCAAAAAGTGTTAGAGAGGATGAGGAACAAGACTTCAAAAGGTGCATCGGGGCACGCAGCACTCAGGAGATTCCAGGGCAGTGTGGCCATGTAAATTTCATGACATCTATCTGAGCAGCCATCGAGCTTTTGCATGATCTCTCTCAAACCGAGTCTGGCCTTGGGGTGCGTCCTCGCCGTTATCCGCTCACGTTCATTAGAGAGGGGCAGTTAACACGGCAGGGAATGGTTACTGTGGTCTGATGGCGGTGTCGCTGTTTGAGTCGGGCCAGAAGTGGAGGACCAACTATTCACCGTCAAAGGTGAATAGCTGCTTCTTTTTTTTTTACAGTATCACCTTCATATATCCACAGCTCGACAGCAGCAGCAGCAGCAGCTCTGACATCACTTCTGCAGGATGGAGCATGAGGAGCAAGTGACTCAAATGGAGAAAAGTAGTAGTAGTAGTAATAGTAATCTTTATTTATATACCGCCTTTTCACTGCACATCGGAGTCTCAAAGCGGTTTACAATTGTTATTTTTGGGAGT